TATTCTTCTCCTAAGTTCCTTGAGCATCCTTATAACCATTTTTTTGAATTATGTGTCTGGTAGATCGCTTTCCTTCATTTTATTTAGTTCTTTTTCTGGAGATTTCTTCGTTTTTTTTCATTTGGGGCATGCTTCTTTGTCTCCCCATTTTGGGTGCCTGTCTGTGTTTGTTTCTGTGTTTTAGGTAGTTCTGCTTTGTCTCTCAGTCTTGGTAGGGTGGCCTTATATAGTAGCTTTCCTGTGGGGCCCAGTGGCGCATTCTTCCTAATCACCTGAGCTGGGTGCTCCAGGCGTGTCCTTTGTGGGGGTTATGTGAGCCCTTCTGTTGTAGTTGAGCCTTGATTGCTTGTTGCCACATCTGTGGATGGGGTTGACCCTCAGACTGAATGGATGTGAGGATTGGTCATGTCTGGAGTGTAAGAGCTGCTGTGTGTGGGCTGGGATTCCATGAAGCTAAATTCTCCCCAGCATGGTCTCTTGCCTACTGAGGCCTTCCTTTGGTTGTACCACTTGTGGAGCTAATTGGGTGGCGCTCTTTTGTGGTCTGAAGCCAGCCCTTGGGTGTGTTGGTTCTAGGGCCTCTTGGGAGGGACTCTGGTATAGGTCAATGTCGACATTACCTGTGACCAGCCCTGGGCTACCTGTTAGTAGCTACAAAGTGATCCACAATTAGTATCTGCCTCTGTTGGGCCTAGGTGCACGTGGGAGGGGCCAAGCTATATCTGAGGCCTGCTGCCACCAGTACCAGGTCTGGAGCAGGTCAGCAAGTGGCCCAAGGCACCCCGAGATTCTTTGTCACCTGCCAGCCTCCCCTTAGGTTCAGCCACTGAAAGAGCCTTGGGCAGTACCTGAGTTGTATGAAGTAGATTCTCAGGGAGTCACCAGGTAGGGGTGAGTGGTGTTTACCAGGTTAATTCAGTTTCAAACTCAGTGCCAGTGCTGGGTCAGAAGCTACTCAGCAAATGTCTCATGGTACATTGAGGCCAGCCGCCTTCTGCCTGGGGCCTTTTCAGTGGTGTGGGGTCTCAGGGAGTCACCAGTGTGGAGCTAGTAGAGTTTGCAGGCTACAGCAGATTAAGATTTGGCTGTGTAGAGGGAAAATGAGCCTTAAAGGTAAGCCAGGAAATGTGCTGCATGTAGGCCATGCAAGAAGATGACCCTCGCCCTGATGCCACACAGCTCAGTTTCTCCCTGTGTGTCTCTGGCACCCTGTGAGCTTAACCGGAATTCTTTGAGAGTTAGTCAAGAATGATGCCATGCTGGCCCAGGCTGGTCGTCACTGACAGACCTCCTTAGCCATAGAAGAATGATTTTCTAAAGAGAAAAGAGAAAGGTTATTGGGCGTTCTTATGTCCAATTTTTCCTTGATTGCAGCTAAGCCAGATATACAAGAGCAGATAATTCTAGCTAAATCATACTTTGTTACTCATCTTACATACTCTGAGAACCCAGTAGCCCCACTGAAGAGGGCTGTTTTGTGGGAGGTAGACATGAAGCCAGATCTGGGTCTCCTGAAGCCAGAGCTATCATTCCATGTTTCGGATACTCAAAGATGGTAAAGCTTCATGCTGGCATGCTGTACTGTCATGGAGGGCACTATTCATCTGCTTTTCTCTAGCAGATTCTCATACCAATTATAATGTTGCACACAAACCTAACAAAGGTGTATTAGGAAGTTTTGGTATATTTTCAAAAAAGGTATTTCATTATTATTGTATTAGGATAATTTCACTTTACCCCAGTTTCATGATACACTTTCATTTGAGATTATTCTTGATTTTAGCTATATGATATCGAGTAATTTCAAATAGAAGAAAAAACAAGTTAATGAGGTAATTAACTGATAGGTGGTGTCTTTTGGCTAATTTCAGAGTTAGATTATAGGTTAGAGGCTTAATTTTCTGGTGGAAAGTATCCAAACTTTATTCCTTTTAAAGTAGTTTACATCTGTTATTTAATTTAATTCGTACCATAACTGTGTAATAGTCATCTCCAGTTTGGAGCAGAGAAAAGTGAAAATTTTTGACATTAAGTCCAACAGTGGTTACTAGTTTATTGGCTACTTCAAGAAATTTTTATTTCAACATTTTCCTTGACACATGCACTCCCTATTCTAACTTTACATACATGTGTTTATTCTGAGGGAACTATAGTTTATATAGTTTCTTTTTAGTCAGAATTTTATCAAGAAAGTAATGCAAATAGTGTGTTTTAGTCAAGGACAGTAAGTACCTGTGTATCTATGTGGTGCATGTACTTGTAAGTATTTATGGAGTGTAAGAGTATAATAGTAGTTCTATATAGTAACAGTCATTGTGTGTTTTTTAAACTTTCTAAGATTTCATTTCTGTGCATACGAGTACTGTGAAATTATTATGGCCAGAATACCAATGTTTGTCTTTTACTCACTTTATCTGCACTTCATAAAAACACTTCAGTATTACTTCATCATCTTTAAATTTGCTTTTCAGTATGTGAAGTCTGTTAACGAATGCTTGAATATTTGTGGAGTAATCCTGATTTTTGCAGGTGTTGCAAGGCCTTTGGAATATTTAGCTTAATTTGGAACAGGATTCTCTCTTTTTTGCTTGGTCTTTCACTTTTGAAAACCGAGTTACAGTAAATCCATCTGTGTGTAGGCCTCTCAAATCTTTCAGCGGTAGTTTGGTTAGGCATGTGGGTTCTCATAGTTCATGCTGGCCCAATTGAAATGCTAAGAGAATTGTTTTACAGATAATGTGTATCACTGTGCACATGGTATGTATCCCTGCAGTAAAAGTTCTGTTCTTTAGAAGGCTTGGGTAGTGTCAGCAGTCTCAGTTAATAAAAAATGAACTAATAAAGAATACTATCAACTATAGAATTCAATTAAATAAAAAAATTAGAACAGAAATAGAAAACAAATGCAATAGAAAAAACAATGGAAAAAAAGAACACTGTTTCTTGACCTTTTTTGTTATTGTTGTTGCACAGTTATCTTATAGTGACTATTTGTATGAAAGTTGTCCATTTCTAAAAGAACCAGTATAAGATCAGTAATTTAAAATACTTCGTACTAAGTTCATGGTGGTGTGATCATGGTGAGATGCTGCCAATTGATAGTTGAAGAGGTAGAGCATACATCTTTTATGCTGACATATGTTAGTCTTAGGTGGTTTAAGTTTCTCCTTCAGCAGATTTGTGCCTATAAAGTGATTTGCCTCAGGATGAGTAGAGCAGACATTTGAGTGATAATGATCTTGTGGGATGCTATCAGGCCTGTTTCTCAAAATAGTGTTCCTGGACCAGCAGCATCAGCATTGCTGGGAGGTTGTTAGATGGACAGTCCAGACCATTCCCAGATTACTCCATCAGAATTTGCATTTAAATAGATTCTCCAGGTGGTTTGTTTACACATTAAAGTTTGAAGTTCTTCTGTAGAAGACAAGACTTGGCATCTGGACAAGAAACAAACACTTCTGTATCTGAGGTTGCAAGGATATAAAGATTTAGGAATTATTTCTCAGAATAACAAAACATATGCTCACCTTAAAAGTTAATTTCTCTTTAGTTACTCATCTACTCTGTAATAAAATGTGTCTAATGCATTTCTTTACTTTGATACTTTCATCTTATCCAACAAAAAATAGAAACTTGACTTCATCCATACCAAGTGAGTGAACCTGGTTATTGTTAAATCTTCCCTAAGTCGGTGGCATCCTCTGAATTTGAATGAAATTAAACCTTGAGAAAAGGAGATAGAAGGCAGAGGCCCTGACATTAGAATGGCATGGCATGTTTCATCACTCACGAGGCTTGTTTCTGTGACACTGGGGACGCAGACATACTTCATTCCCTCTGAGTTAATAAATAAGGATGTCCCGAGTGTCTGCTGTGTGCCAGATGAGAAAGAGTAGATCAAGCCTTTCCTCAGAGAGTTTATAGTCAGACAGGGAACTGTACTTGAAAGTCAGGCAACCTGTCACCAGCAGAACCCTGGTTTTCTGGGATATGGCCTTGCAGATCCGTTGGCAGGACTTCTGCCAAAGGAAGTCTTGCTCAGTGGGGTGAGCATAAACCACACGGGAGGAGCACCTGTTCTGGTTGAACCTGGGGTTATGTCTGGCTCTTTCATATATCCTTGGGGGTGGGGATGAGGGTAAGGGTCTTGAGTTCTAGGGCACAGTTGGAAACCAGTGTCCTGGTGTTAAGAACACCATGAGGACTTCTATTAATTATAAAAAAGATATATTTTTTCATGACACCTTTTACCTGCCTCCCTTAATTCTGATTTTTATCCTGTAATATAAAGTTTTTCTGTCTTGCACAGAGGACCCCAGAAATCTTCAAAATAGGAAGTCAGCTGCTTGTAGTCACAACATGTGAAATGCCTTAAGCATGTGGGACCTGAGATAAGACACAGAAACACAAGGATGCCTCTCAAGAACATACATTTTTCTGACATGCATTTGGCAGGCATATTATGGACAGAGCAGAGAGTGGGGCTTGCCATAAAGTTTCTCACAGGGGAGGAACTGTAGAAGATTTTAGTATAGTGTACCTTGAGATTGTAAATGCCATTCTCTACTTATTGTGCTAACTCTGTGATTTACTTTTAGAAATTTATATAGACTATTTAAAAAATACTAATAATGGCATTTCACTTATGCCACAGACCTTTTCCTCTGCAAAAATCTCAATTATGAACTTAATTCTTGAGAATAGGAAGGCGCTGTGATATATTATAAATCATATTACATTTTCCCCCCTCCCTTACAAAGGCATGGTAGGCTTATTATGAGAAAAAAGCTTTTGTTCAGGATTTTTCAGTGGGAAATACATTTAGACTTGAACAAGATTTAAATGGCAACTTGATAATAGATCGTTTTAGGAGATGGCTGAATGTTTCACTTAAGGATTAGCTCAGATTTTATGTCTTAATTTCCTGAAAAGCATCATGTAGTCATATCAGATTGTCACACACCGTGTTTAGTGATACTCATGCCACTTCTGCTCTGCAGGAGAACTCAGGCACTTTGGACACGGTGGGCGCTGTGGTTGTGGACCATGAAGGGAATGTTGCTGCTGCTGTCTCCAGTGGAGGCCTGGCCCTGAAGCATCCAGGGAGAGTTGGGCAGGTGAGTAATTAGGGAATTCTTAAACTAGCTTTTCAAGTTAAAACATGGGATTTTCTAGCTCACAATTTTTAAACCATGGAGACATTTTTTTCTTTAGAAAAAATAAAATCATTGTTTTTTAACATTTATGTACTGTAAACCATCAATCGGAAACCTTTCCAAGAATCTTTCTAAAAAAAGTTATCTCATAGTAATAGGGTTCTTTCTGATCTCTACCTTTGGTAATCCTGTGTTTTACTATTTTGAACAGGCTGAGCATTTAGTAGACATTTAATAAATGTGTGTTGATTTCCATTTTCTGTCTTTGTAAATGTCATTATCTTCAGGAGCAAGTTCTACCTGACTATATTGCTGCCTGCTTTTTAGGTGGGAAAGTGATTTTAGAGTTACATTTTGTATTTCTTCCATTCAAGGAGCATTTGACCCTCTAAATCCCTCCTCTGATTAAGCATTTTAGCTATTTCATAGACTAACCAGTATTTCAGGTCACTTGGACATCTTTGTACCCCCCACCCCCTGTCATCAAGCTTCAGGACTATACTGAGAATGAAATTTGACAGTTTATTTGATCTAGTAAGCTTTCGGAGTATGAACCAATTTGGCACATTACTTACGGGCTTAATAAATATTTGGTGAGTGAACAAATGAATTGGACACCATCATGGAACCTGTTAAAGTAGTTGCACAGGGTGTGTTTAAGCTCAGTATTTGGACCTCATATTGCATATGGAGCACTACTTGACTGCTTTCTGCCCTTTGTTTCTCATATTTGAAGAGGAGTTGGTGTCGCAGTTGCTTTGGACATGGTGGTTAGTAAGGCTTGGAGCAGAGAGATCTGATTCATGGAGGACATCTTTGCAGAGCCTCAAGTGTTGTTCCTGAGTCTGCCCTTTATTGTGGATAAACCACTCACAGTCCCACATGGGGAAAGGGAAGGGAAGAATAATTAATTTTGTGCAATTCTTTCTCTACTGTGGAAGGGGATATATGGGGAGTGATTACTCAACTTGTGTGCAATGCTTGGAACTTATTATAAAAAGCCTTTGTCTGGTCATGGTCTTTTTTCACATTATAAAGTTCTGTGTATTTGTCGACTTTGGAGTAAGAAAACCAAGGTTGGCATATCAGTTTTGGATGCCTTGGTGGAGAAGAAGAGAGAAAAGAGAGCAGAGCCCCCTTCATAGCATTGCAGTTCCTATGATTTTCTCACTGTTTTTTGTTTGTTTTGGTTAGCAAAATATCAACAGCACCAAGGATAGTTCTGGACTATGTTAGCAGGATATTACATCGAACAATCTTGAAGCCATTCTGCCACTGCAAAGGGGACTATCCTGGAGAAAGAAATACTTATGTAAAACTTAATGTTTATTTGCGCCACTTGGCTAGTTTATGAATGCACAGTTTGAGAGACGAAAACTCAGGAAAGGGTGTGGAGGAGAGGAGTCAAGGTACTTACAGGAAAATATAGTTGCCGAATTGGATTATATTGCTTGGATAAGGAGATGTGATTAGTCTAGCCTGGAAATATTTAAGCATCAGGTGAGAGGTGAAAGAGCTGTTCTTCTCAGTAATCAGAATAGAGTGTAACAAAATACACAAGCAGATTATTATTTTTTTAAAAAGCAAAGATGATTTTTTAAATGTGCTAAAACTAGATACTGTACAAATGAACTATTTAAAAATTTTAGCATATCACCCTGCTCTAGATATATGATAACAGTTCAGATGGTAAAATGGCAATCTGAATTAGAACTTATTTGCTGCTTTAGCTTACTGTAATATTTATATTTAAAACGGACATGAGAACAGAATTATTATATTCTGCCTCCCCTTAACTCCCACCCTACCCAAATACAAATAGGCAGTTGAGTTTAGTGGAGTGGTTAATGGTATGGACTTTGGATTCAGGTAAGCTTTAATCTAATTCCACCTTTCCATTTACCAGTCTCCTTACTATGGTCAATATTCAGTGTCTTTAAACTCTACTTTCCACAACTATAAATGGGGATAAATAGCTACCTTACAAAGTTATAGAAGATTAAATGACGTAATGCATTAAATAACTTATCATAGTCCCTTATAACAACAGCTACAGCTACTGTTTATGCTGTGTACGACAGGCACGTTAATTCACATGATACTCCAGCATGGGGGGTGGTGTGTCAGGCCCAGAGAAGATTAATAGTAATAGTAATAATATAGTTTATGTGACCTACTTTTACTGTATGATAATAGCTTTAATAAAATTTTACTACTAAAAAGAAGGAAGCTTTTTAAATTGGTTTTTTTTTAGGCCTGCTTAAGGTTGTTATGTTTTATCCAAAGAAGTGAATGAGAGAGAGACAATCAGATTCATTCTTTCTCAGCTCAACCAAATTCAGAAGTTTACAAAATAAGACTTGAGGTCATGAAATTGAAAAGTAGCATAAAGGGAATGTGCTTAGAAGAAAATCGAGGAAGAGTAAGTGTTCTTTCTTTTTTTAAAATATATCTTTATTGATTTCAGAGAGAGAGAGAGAGAAATAGAAACATCAATGTTGAGAGAGTCATTGATCGGCTGCCTCCTGCACGCCCCTGACTGGGGATCAAGCCTGCAACCCGGGCATGTGCCCTGACCGGGAATCGAACCCTGATTGCCTGGGTCCTAGGTTGATGCTCAACTGCTGAGCCACGCCCGGCCGGGCTAAGTGTTCTTTCTTTTCTAGCAAGAGATGAACTCCACTGGGTTTCTAAGAGGTGTCCATGTGGCCTTATTTACTTTTTTTTGTGGGGAATGGAAGGATGATGGGTGAATGTGCAGGGTTCGCAGTGAAGGGAGAACAGGTCCTTCTCCAGAGGTCATGTGTTCTCCGAGGCTCTGGCTGACCCAGCATCTGTTCCAGGCAGTGCCAGTTGAATGGCTTACCCCACAAGTCTGCCAGTTTTCTTATGAATTCCACGTGCCGAATCCCTTCTGCAGGGCTGTCAGCTGCACTTTGACCCAGCCGTCGCATGTATTTAGGAAGCGTGGTGTTTTCAAAGGCAGCAATGTCTTTTCTACTGTCTGCTGTATTGGAAGTGTTGTGTTCAGTTCTTGGTTTTACTTCTAAGAGGGCTGTTGTCATGACAACTGGGGATGGCAACTGTGGGTCACAAGACTTCATCTCCAGTGTTCCTCCGTTTTGAATTATTTCTCGAGGAGAGTGACTAGGGAAGTGGGGTGTCCATGCGCATTTCAGAGCTTGAGGGCCAGTTCACAAACCTAGGGTTCTTTGAGTGAGGAGAGTCATCAGGGCACTGGGGTAGTAGCTGTTTGAAAAATTTGGAGGTCTTTAGGAGGGGGCTACTGTCCTTCCAGAGTAGAACTAGCACTAGTGGATGGAGGTTACTGTGTAGTCAAAGGAAGGACTTTCTCAATGGGGAGTGTCCAGAGGGGTATATGTTTCCCTACAAGATCATGAGCTTCTCAGTGTCAGAAGTATTGGGATAGTTCATGGAGATTCCTGCTCTTGGTAGAACATGGGAGCAAATGAGTTCTGAGGTCCTTGTGAAAAGGAACCAGAAGGTACAGAAGTTCTTCTGTCAACGTTCCCAGTCTTCCTCCTGCAGTCTTGGAAGTGAGCTCCTAGGAAATAACTGTACGATTTTAGGGGAGTGTCTTCTTCCTCCGTCAGGCACGCTGAACGCTGAATGTAGTGTGGTGGCTTACCTCTTTCTTTCTTTGTTTTTTAGGAACCAATTTAATTCGTTTTTTGAACCTTTGCATTGAATTCTGCATATTTCTTTTTTTTTTTTTAAATATATCTTTATTGATTTTAGAGAGAGGAAAGGAGAGGGAGAGAGAGAGATAGAAACATCAATGATGAGAGAGTCATTGATCGGCTGCAGCCCGCAACCCGGGCATGTGCCCTGACCGGGAACCGAACCCTGATCGCCTGGATCCTAGGTCGATGCTCAACTGCTGAGCCACGCCCGGCCGGGCCGAATTCTGCATATTTCTATGCTAATGTTTAGCCATTTCCTTACCGATTGACATTTATGTTGTTTTCAGTTTTTCATTCTCACCGAACATGTGCTAAAGCACATGTATTTTCTGGATAGTTAAGGTTTTTTATGACTCTGCTTCTCACTAAGGAGTGGAAAGTTACCTGTTGTAAGTTTCCTCCCAAAGGCACAAGAGTCATCGTGGATATTGACAGGATGAATCCAGACATTCTGGGGAGCATTAGTTGGAAACAAAATAGGAATGGTTGACGTATTCTTTTATAAAACCGTAGTAACTTATTATATTTCTGATGGTTTCAGACATGTAAATCTGCTTCACCACTTTACAAAGAGATTACCTTAAGCAGGCCTTTTCCTTCTTTCTTTACACCTGGCAGAACCTAGCACAGTGGTGAGCATATACTGGGTCCTTTGCTACAAACTGTTTGCAGTTCCTATTGTGCCACCCACGGGAGGCATGGAAAAGGCCTCTTAAATGGAGTTTCCTAGAGCATGGCAGGAGGGCTGCTGATATCCCAGCTCCCAGGGCCCTGGTTAATGTAGCTGATTCCTGGCCTAGCCCCCAGACCACTTACTTAGAATATCTGGGAACCAAGGTTGCTATCACTATGATCCCCAAATAATTTGACACATACCTAGTCTGAGAACCACTACTGTAAGGCAACCATAATGATTTCAAGGGGCCAGAAGAGCCACTAGTTGACAAATTACAATGGGGAAAGATTTTTCAGGGAAAGAAAAATTACTGTTGATAAAATTAAGAAACTTTCTTTTGCTATTTTCTGAAAATTTTTAGATTACTGCAATAGTTGAAAATATAGTTTCGATAGTGTTAGAATGTTATTTGGATAGGTTTTATACATCCTCTGGTATTATTACCCAGTTGATATACATCATTGTTAAGTTTATTAGATGGGTATGATTTTTGTCTTCTGTTGAAAGCCAGTAATTACATATAATGTTTCTGAAATATTATATTTCTCTATTTTCTTTTTCCCCCAGGCTGCTCTTTATGGATGTGGCTGCTGGGCTGAAAATACTGGAGCTCATAATCCCTACTCCACAGCTGTGAGTACCTCAGGTATTTGCTGCTTTCATGACCATTTTTCATAACTTCAACCTTGTAGGTCATTTAATGATTGAAAACAATATTTTTATGTAAGCATAAAGCATGTGCTGAGACACTGCATAGACAAGAGCACTGATGCATAAAAGATCTTTGATATTTGAGAGCTTTTAAGGATTGTTTCACAATGTAAGTATCACAGTGTAAATGCTTTTCTAACATTTCAACACAATTCTGGAGTTAACTGTAACTTAATAATATTTTTATGGTTTGTTTTTTTCTCTAATGACTCATGATAGTGCCAAATTTAGATCACAGATATAAAAGTAGCAAGGCATTTCAGAACTGAGATATTCTCTTGAGTAAAATGTTCACATAAAACTTATAAGGTATATTTCAAAATGTATAGTTTATGACATCCAGTCCTCTACACTTTTAATAAAAATGTACATCTTCATTTTGTACTTGTATTTAAAAAGTTATCACTTAGAAGTGTGTGTGTGTGTGTGTGTTGGGGGGGGAGAATTTTAATGGGCAGAATGGTTGGTGTCTAGATCCAAGTTTTTATATGCTAGTGCCAGATGTACTGAAGCCTTTTCTTTTAATGTGGTGATATGCATGGCTGACAAAATAATATTGGTTTATATTGACAAAATAATATTGGTTTGCCTCTACCTATCAAGTTACAGTCCCAGGCTTTGGTTTACCCCCAGACCCTGAGCTGGTATTAGTAGGGAGGATTGATCTGGCTGCCTTTGCCTTCCTTTCCCTCTTCAGTCCGCTTGCCGCCTTCTCTTTGTAACTCCTGACTCTTTCTGGGATCTCTGATGCAGGTGACTGTTTTCTTTCTGTAGCATAGAGTCTGGAATTCTTTTGTTTTTTCCTGCTTCTCTGACCTGCTCTATCTTTGCCTTCTTCACAGATTCTTCCCATTGCTGACAGCCCCAGATTTGGCCCCTGTGGCTTTCCTTCATCTCACTGTGTGCGTTCTATTGGTGATTTGGTGTTATTGCTGTGTTCCCATGATTTCAGCAGTTCTCTCTTAGGGTAATGGCTTCCGTGTCTATCTCTACTCTGCACTTCTCCCTTGAGGCCCATGTGAGTCATTACCTACTTCCTATTGAATGTGCCCCTGTGGGTGTCATGTATCAGCAGACTCAACAAAATGTCTTGTTTCTTACCCCTACTCCTGGGCCACCTTTCTCCTGTATTCCCCATCTCTTCTGTTGCCATCACTATCCTGTTCTTTGCTCAGACTTGAAATCTGGGTTTCTGCCGACTGGACCCTGTCATTTCAGGTCCATATTATCCTGCCTGACAATTGTAGCAAGCAGTCTCCTGACCTAGATTCATTCCTTGTATCAATGGAAAAATAAGACTGTCCTACCAGGTGAAATCCAAACATAAATTAGTGTTGAGTCTAAACTGCAGTAATATAATGGGCAAAAATTTGTTTTCAGCCTTTTAATTTTGAAGAGGTGAGCATAATATAATAATATGAGTTAATTTTTAATTTAATACTGGTAGCACGTGGAAACCTTTACACATTATATTTTAGAGTTAGCTTGTGCTCATAATTATGTATCTCCCCATGTTTGTGAAAAATTGTGGTATTTTAAAAAACTGAAGTCTAAAATAGATAATTCATTATTTCATCTTTATTTTCTCCAAGAAGTATCAGTTTGTATTATGTGTCAGTTTTATTGTTGGTCAATATGTTGTTCAGTGAATTGATTTGCTGTTCTTTAAATGTTACTCTCATGTCTAGATGTTAGGAAACCTAGATTCTACTTTTAAGCTGAAATTCTGAGAGCCCGTCTGTGTCACTTTGGAAAAGAAATTCAATTTCTTTGGGATATTCCACTCCCCCACCCACTCCCTTTTAAGTTGGTGATGTGGAAGTTGGGATAAGAACACATTTACTGGATTTGATTCTGTTAAGTAGAATGCAGTTGGTAGTGGCTAAAGCTAAAATTGTAAAATTAAGGTCTTTTTCCCTTCTCTTTGGCTAGATCCTTCTTTGCCCACCTTGCAATAATTGAAGATAGTTTCATACGACTAAAGAAAAGTTTAGGTTTCCAGTTCATGCCTCTTTGACTTGGGTGCCCAGCTCACCATGTTACATCCTTCCCAAGTGTGGACTAACCATCGTCAGTGCTCAGAACCTGAAGATACTAGAGCAGGTCTCCAGTTCCTTCCATCTGTGGGACTTCTGTGATTGCTTCACCCTTATTTTTCCTGGGGCTGTTGCTATGAGATTGACAATGGAAAAACATGGCAGAGTTGGGTGTTCAAGTCAGAAGAAAGGTGGAGCGCAGAATTTTGCAATTGTTTGGCCAAAATAAAAAAGACTTGTGCCTTAGGCTGTTGCAGAAAATCCAGAGACCTGGCCTACATTTTAGGTTTATAGTTTTTGGAAGGTGATAATTGAAAGGCAGAGGGAAGACAGTTAGTTATGGTCAGGGTAGGGCTCTCCCAGGGCCAGGCAGGACGTGGTCATTAGCCTGAGGGATAAATTCCAGCATCTTGCTCTCATCCCTGGGTGGGGAGGAAATGAGTAGGGAGTGGGGACAAGGATAGGGTGGCACGAGCTGACCTTGCAGACTGACTAATGGTCTGGAATCATGGAGATTTGCCTCACCAAGGAAGGGGCAGAGTAGATACCTGGGTCCATGTTCAGACTCCTTTACTCATTGGCTGTGATCCTGGCAAGCAGTTATTTATAAAACAGGAATAATATCTACCTTAATATTTAAGAGGATTTGGGGAGTTGACATATGAAAGGTACCTAGCACACTTCTTGGTCCTGAGTATTGGCTCAATACTTAACTGTATTTTGTTGAATCTAAGGCACCATCTTTTATAAGATACACCATTATTTAAAAAAATACTAGTTGATTCATTTTTCTTTTTTCTTTTTACTGTGGTAAGGACATGTAACATGAGATCTACCTTCTTTGCAAATAGTTTTTACCATTTTAACCATTTAAAAAATTAAAGTGTAGTTGGTATGTTAGTTTCAGGTGTACAACATAGTGATTTGACATTTATGTACCCTACGAAGTGATCGCCACAATAAGTCCGTCATCGTACAAAGTTATGACAATGTGATTGACTACATTCCTTATGATGTGTACTATATCCCAATTCCTTACTTATTTTATAACTGGAAGTTTGTGCCTCTTGATCCCCTTCACATTTTTCACCCTATCCTTCTTCCCTCTGGCAACTGTGAATCTGTTTCTGTTTTGTTTTGTTTTTTAGATTTCATATATAAGTGAAATCATATGGTATTTGTCTTTCTCTATTCAACTTACTTCATTTAGCATGATACTCTCTAGGTCCTTCCATGTTGTCACAAATGACAAGATTTTATTCTTTTATATGGCTGAGTAATATTCCATTGTGTATAATAATGGATGCAATGAGCTGAAACACATCAAATATATAAAAATCCATAAATTAACTTTTTTCTATGAACAAATGAAGTACCATATATATGCTGCCTCCCACAATTTTTGCCAGCCTGGGCCTCTCCCCTGAACTCAGCTATTCAACTGCTTGTTCAAAGTCTGCACTTACTTTCCTTACCTGACATCACAAATTTAGCATGTCCAAATATGAGCTCTTGATATTGCCCTCCCCTGCCCACCTGCTTCTCCTGCAGTCTTTCCCACACAGCAGAGGGCAACTCCAGCCTCCAGTGGCTCAGGCCAAAATCTTGGAGTCATGCTTGACCTTGACCCTCTCTTCTTTTCTATCTCACCCACGTGCAGAGCACCAGCAAACCCTCTCTACTCTCCTCTCTAAATATATTTAAACTCTGACCTCTTCTTAGCAACTCCATTACTCGCAACAGGTTAAAGTGCTGCCTTCTCTAGCAGGGTTATTGCAGTAGACCCTGGCTGGCCTCTTGGTTTTTCCTCTTTCGCCCTTTATTCAGTTCTCAGCACAGGAGTTGCTGTTCAAACCTGTCAAATTGTGTGTTATACGTGCTCTGTGAACTGTCTGACTGCCTCCCATCTTACCCGAAGGAAAAACCAAAGTCCTTATGAAGGGCCCGTGAGGCCTTCTATGAAGTGCTCCCTCCTTCCCCTGGGACTTCAGCGCTGGCTTTTCTTCCTGCACCCATTCAGGTTAGGTACAGTGGCTGTTTTGACGCACATCAAACTTGTCAGGCATACTCCCGCCTCAGGACCTCTGCTTGAGTCGTTTCCTCCCCCTTTAGCTCTCTACCCTCAGTGTCTTAAGCCTCTGCCCCTGACCTTACCAGCTCTTTATTCAGAAAATTCGCCTGCTCTCTGACCTCTTCCCTGACCGCCCCATTTAATCATGTAAATCTTCTCTCAGCCAACATTTCCTACCCTCCTTCCACGTTCTATTTTTCCCCATAGTACATATTATTGTCTAATACTTATTGCTTTTATGTCTTTATATTTCTTTATTTTCTACCCTACTCTACTATAAAACTCCATGAAAGTTGGAATTTTCATTAGTTTTCTTCACTGATGTGTGAATGATGCTCATCAGCTAGTGCCTTTGATGCTTTTTGAATGAATTGATGTGAATAAAATATGAACAAATAAATACGTTCAGGTGGTATATTACTCAGCTTGGGCTGCTGTAACAAAATAGCATAGACTGTGTGACTTAAACAACAGATGCTCTCAACTCTAGAGGCTGGGAAGTCCAAGATCCTGGTGCCCACAGATTGGGTGTCTGGTTAGGGCTCTCTTCTAGGACAGGAACCTACGAAGGGTGTGGCTTGCAGATGGGCACCTTTTTGCTGTGTCCTCACAGGGCAGGCAGGGAGAGAGTTCTGGTTCCTCTTTCTCTCTTATAAGGACATTAATCCCATTATAGTGTGCCCACCCTCATGACCTCATCTAACCTTCCCCAAAATACCATCATTTGGGGTTTAGGGCTTTAACATGAATTTACTTGGAGTTGGGGTTGTTTCATTTTTTAGAGGGAGCAAACATTCAGTTTATAACAAGTGGAGTGGACTAGTTCAA